CCACATGAAATGAATTTGGTAATGTTCCTGAAATGATTTATTAATAATTAATATAATTTCAATATCTTAGGTCTGTAAAACATATAATGAAAAAAATTTAAGTACAGACATAAAATATTTACACCTTCTTAATACTTTTTCAAGGGCCTTTAATCAGTTTCACGTGTCTTTTGTTTCTTCCTTTTGTTTTTAAATTCTCTTCCACATTTATTTATGTTGTATGTGTGTGTATGCCTGTGTGTGTGTGCACTCACATGTTCACGCACATGCCCATGCCACTGCACATGTACAGAAGTCAGCGGAGGGAGAGTATAGGGAGTTGGCTCTCTCTTGCTGCCATGTAGGAGTCAGGGTTCAAACTCAGGTCAAAATATTTGGTGGCAAACACGTTCACCTGCTGAACCATCTCACAACCCTTTGTTTTGTTTTGGAGACAATGTCTCCCTGTGTCGCACAGACTGACATCAAACTGTCACCAATCATTCTCTCCCTTGAGAGCAGATTTTACAGATGTGTGTCACCAAGCTTGGCCTTCTGTCTCTTCACTGAAAATAACTTTGGTTCTTATTGACAATTTTTGTTGCAATTTTTTTCTTGGTCATGATTTTGTACAGTTTATTGTTGTCTACTTTCTGTTTCATTTGTTAAGAATTTCATCTTGTTTTGCTTTTCTGATTGTGTTTTTTTATGGATTCATGTTCATATTAAAATCTCTTTTGTAATATTGCCTTTGAATAAATCAGTTTTTTGTAAGAGAAATTTTGCTATATTTTTTATAATTTATAATTGTGAAAAGCCATTATAATAATCTACTTGTCCCAACCTTTATTAGAACTATCCTTCAGATTTAGAAACTACCTACTTCAAAATGTTGATCATTTACTGATTTTTTTCAATAAAATGAAAGGAATTTTCAATGATGTTGTCACATGACTGTGAGCACGGCTAGTGTGACTGAAGAACTTACTTCATGTTATATTTATTTTTAAATTAATTTTAACTCAAATAGCTTCAGTTTGAATGTCTTGTTCAAGCATGGCTGGTGCCTACAATGGCTACTGTGTAGAGAGCTCAGCTGTAAATACTTTCTAATAATACACTTGGAAATATTAGTATAGATCTGAGGAAATTTCCCATGTGGATCTAAGAACCTAAACCTTCTTGGTTCACAAGGTGAGTATGTGAATAAATTCCTGTGTTTACTATCCAGGTTAAGTATTTCCCTAACCTCACAGATTAATATGCTTACTGAGGTATGATGCAGAAGTATCTAGGTCCTATTCTATTCTGTATTAAACTTCTATCTTCCAAGTCAATGTTTTATTATTCATTCATTTATTTTTATTTACACACTACCTAATGAAATATTATTAATGGCTGGCATGGCAATTTTGTCATTATTAAATACTCTTCTTCATCTCCAATAATGGTTGTTATGATCTTATGATAGTACACTATTGGTTCATTTTTCATTTTTTTACTTTCATCTTTTCTTTTGCTTATGATGAGAGTTTCTTATTAATATAAGAAAGTTAAAATATTAACCCATATTAATTTAACTTGAATACCATCTATTTTATATTTAATGTGTTATTAGATTACTATGATATTTATCATTTGCTTGCATATATAATTAATTCTAATTTTCATTCAGTTTTGAACACTCACATCTCATGAATTCTATTTTTTCTGTTTCTTTGTCTTTTAACAATATTTTCATTGATCATGTGCCATTACATGAATTTGCTAAATTTGCTTAAATTTGTAAATTTAACTTTAAATACTCTTTAATTTATGTCTCACGTTTTACAGTATAATTCTTTACTCTATAAATCCAATCATTTGCTCTTTTTCAAATAATCAAAAGTTCCAACAACCTTCTACTTTTACTGTTTATTCTATATTTTCTTTCTGAAATACTATGATATAACACTTGATGCTAACAAACTTTTAAATTCAATATTTTGCAATCAATATTGCACCCCTTTACTGTCTATTTAAGGACACTCAATAATCTCTTCTACTCTTCCTTTTTGTATTTCCAAGACTGTCACTCACAGGAAAAAGAACTTATCTTTAGAAGAATTTCAAATGTTTCCATTAGTCATAGTCAAGTGGTGACTGCATTTTTGCTAGTTCCTAAAAAATGAACTAATTTTGCCATCATAGTAAAACATACATTTAAGTCTTTGTTACTTTTCAATTATTCATCTTTAATTATTCGTCAGCATTCCCCTAATAAAAGCCAAAGGCGACTTATTTTAACAGAACTATCCTGAGAGATGAACAATTTGAAAAAAATGCAACTATCATTTTAATACAATTTAAAAAATAATTTTCCATATATTTAAAAAGATAATATCTAACTATTCTTGCTATACTAGATCATTTACTTGGTTTTTATATTTTTGTTATATCATTGTCTGAACATAGATTTCATAGCGCTACATGCCAGAAAAGTGAAATCTCATATTATTGTATATAATAAAAATACGCTCTCTATAATATATATATATATATATATATATATATATATGTACATATGTATATATGATTATACAATTTAAAACTTCAAGTCAATGTCTATACTGGTAATAGATATAACTATATCAAACAAGGAAAAGGAACATTAATGAATATGGCATGGTTTACATTATTTGACAGCTTTAATCTTAATTGTACTAATATGTAAGAGCAATTAATTGAACATATATAGAGTACTTATATGGAACACTTAAAAATTTATAAAAATAAAATATAATTAATAGAAATTTAGATAGATTCATTGTAGGAAGCATGAAGATCCTTGTGCTCACAGATAAGCACTAGGAGAACCAGGAATGTTAAACTTACAAAGTGTTTTCTTCAAAATGATAACCTGTTTTCCATCCAGAAGGCTGGGATCAGAGGTGGCTCATAGCCTGGTGACTTTCTCAGTGTCTGTGTGGCTGAAGCTACACTGGATCCCCCTTGATTTTTATCTTGAGTCTGTTTTCTAAGTTAATCTATAGAACCTATTTTTATTGAAAGATGTCACTTGTACTTTACAAAGAGTTTAGATATAGTCATGTCTCTTTTTTTATTGAAAATGGATTCTTCCCTTATATAGTACATCCTAACCACAGTTTCCCTTCCCTTCACTCCTCTTAGCTCTACCCCCAACCTCCTATCTCCCACAGATCCACTACCCCTCTATTTTCTCTTCAGAAAAGAGCAGGCATCCAAGAGCCAACAGACAAACAGGTCAAAAAATATGCAATAAATTCAGAAGCTCTAATATCGAGGTTGGACCACACAACCCAGTAGGAAGATGTCTTAAGATTTGCTGTGCACATGGGATTGAGTTAATTATCATCAGGAAATTTTTTTTTTTAGGTTGTGTTGTTATTGAATATGCCTAAGACTGCTCAAGATCAAACTCTAGAAGTTTAAACCAACACTGGCTACTAAGTCATGTTGAGCCATGTTGAGATGAATTTCCTTCTTGTTTCCCTCAGACCATTAACCTGCTGGCTGTGGTGATTGCAGAGAACTCCACAATTAGTTACTCAATGAATGACAATGACATTCTTAGGGATGTGTCATTGCACGTTCTCATGTTTGTGTAAACAGATTAGAGAAAATAGGCAAAATGTAGCAGCTGTAGTGTCTTCAGTGGGACGAAAGTTATACATGATTCATCATTGACCGGAATATCTTCATTTCTGTTGGTTTGTTTTGTTTGATGTTTTGCTGGAAGTCCTTCCACATACTGGGCACATGCTATGCCACTTGAATTCAGATAGGAGGGGAGATGTGGAGGAATTGGAAGGTGTAGAGGGAGGGGAAGCTGTAATTAGAATATAATATGTGAAAAAGTGATTTTTCAATAAAGAGAAAAACCCTCTAAGAATCTCTTGTAAGAGGAAGCTTGGTGATTAATTCTCTCACCTTTCTAGAACACATAGCAGTTCTTGTGAGATACTCAGAAAATGACACAATACACAGCACACATAGTTGACCACTATGTCCTTTCAACAAGAATCCAAAGTGACCTATATTGTAAAGGTGTGATGAGAAAAACTAATTTCAAAATCAGCCAAGTATGAGAATTTCCTGTTCAACCTTCAGTGTCATGTTGGTGAGAAATCTCCCTTTCCACTCTTGACTCTCTCACAGCCTCACGGTGCAGCCTGTTCAGTTCACCATCACTGTTGTCCTAGATTTCTGTGACTGACTTTCACCTTTTGGTGCTCAGCTCCCACAGGCCTCCTGTGAACTCCACCCTCACTTCAGGAGACCTGTCTTTCTGGCAACAGAGGGAGCTTGTCACTGCTCCCTTGTCTCCACCAGCCCGGTCAGTTGAGGGGACACTGTAAATGCTACATGTGGAACAATTGAGGCACAGTTCTGCTGCAGGGAATCAAACTGGAATGTGGATGCCTCTAAACAACCCAGAGAAATCCAAGCGCATGGGACACACTGGAGGATTGTCTCAAAGTTCTGTCCTTGTTGTCTGTGGAGAGTCAGTCACCCACTTGTGTTTGTGTTTCCTTATCAATATAATTAAACCTACAGCCTCTAGAGACCTGATGATGAAGTGTGGATTTTAAGTGTTCCAATTTGTGGTCTGCGGATCGTTGGATAACAACGTATTGATTGATCCCAGAGAGCACAGATTGAGAGCTTGACATGCCATGCTGGGTGTTAACTGCCTTACATGCTTTATATTATATATACCTGAACTTAGGTTTTAGAAGAATAAACAAAGCTATTAGATTCCTAATACTAATAACTATTTAACAGTCACATGTTATAAGGCTCAAAGCCAGAATTAATTCTAGATTTTATTTTATTTTTTAACCATAACACATAAGTTCAAAGCCCAAGGTAAAATTAGATATTTCAACTGTACAAAAGCTCCAGTTCTCTGGGCTCCTCCTTTCGTGACTGTATCAGGATATGAAGCTTCTTAAGTTGAATCACCATAGCACATGTCACTGGGCTGCAGAGAGAGAGTCATGAGTCATCTGTTCAGAACTCCACTTGCCTCAGGACCCAGGAAAGCAGCAAAGGAAACTCAAGGCCACTCACAGCTCCATATCAGTAACCAAGCAGGAAATCAGCTGATGGAGTTCAGACTTCAAAATGCTTCCCAGAAGCATGTCAAGATCAGCAGGCACGGCCACTGCAAAAGTAAGGCACTGGATGGACCTTTCAATGTAACTGCTCTGGAGTGTCGGCTGGTATGCAGTCGGAAATGGGCTCCTTACTGGAAGGAAAGGAAGCTCTAACTTGGCTCATGGCCTTATAAGATGTGAGCACAGTTTTCATTCAGACATTGTTGTAAGAATGTATGATCATTGTGTTCAATGAAAATGCAATGATATTGCCTACAGACCAATTACAGCATAGAGGAGGGCCTGGGGGGTGTGTTTCTTCTTCTGATTCTCCGAGTTCCCTTCTTTGTAAACCCTGTGAACATCTGTTTCTGTTTTCTCTCTCATTACTTCCATTTACCTCTGCAGAATTTTTATCACCTAGAGAAGCTCTGGGATCCTGGGCATCATCTGGTTTGCCTTATTGGTTGCCTTGGTGATAACAACCAGAGTTGTCTCTCTATGTAAGCATGCTCTTGAGAGATTATAAGGGAGCTTTCCTCTTTAATAACAAAGCATCTTTCAATGCTCCTTCCTAGTAAGGAAAATAGCTTTTACTTTCAAGTACATATGTGGATTAAATGTGGAATGGTTGTTCTAATTTTTTCAAAGTTATAAATAGTAGGATATTATAATATGTTTGCTTTTAAGTATACTGATTATGGCTTTATGTTTCAACAGCACAATTTAAAATACTTTATTGAGAAAAACAAATTAACTTTTGAAAGTTCCCCCCTCCGGTGGGTTGTACGTTGAACTTTAGGATTTCGTTGAATTAAGTTTCTTCAAAGTTTTCATCATATTTTCATAATATAGCAATTGCAATTGCATTCTGTATTATTCTAATTTAAATAGTACATAAATTTTAAACCAAGGAACTAAAATTGTTGTGATTATTTTAGATGTCAAGTTTATTAAGAATTACTTTAACTCTCCAAATACTGAAGCAAGGGAGTAGGTCCACTCCTTCCTGATTACAAGTCAGAAAGGTATACCTCGCTTGTCAAAGTTCTGATGCTTGTACACATTATATTTCGTGCCTAACTTAAGTCATGCAAAGATAGTAATTTATTTCTAGAACAGAATAATCTAGAGACATGAACACTAAATTCTCATAAATATACATTGAAGGATGATAATCCCTTTTGTCATGAATTAAGAAATAATCATGTAAAATAATTATTCAACAGTTTTGATAATTGGCTTAAGTTTCTTACTGGTGAACTATGATGCATCAGAAATGAATTCTGTCTTCTAGAATAGAGGTTATGTTTAGTGTTTTTGAAGAAATTTGTGGGGAGAGAATTTGATTTTGGTTCACATGCTTTATGTGGACACATAAACTGTGGGTCAGAGGTTGATACTGTGCTTGAGTAGGTTTGAGCATACATTTTGTTTTCTATGGACTAGCATCTGGGGTGCATAGCTACATTTTATACATGGATGTTCAAAACTATGCAAACATGTAAATTAATTTTTATATTGCTTCTAGATAATAATCTTTCTTCAGCACATCCTTGTGGTCATTGTCAAAAGAAGTGGATATCGTATTACCACAATTGTTATTACATTGGTGTAGAGAAAAAAACTTGGAATGACAGTTTAGTGTCCTGCCCTTCCAAAAACTCTACTCTACTTTACATAGATAGTGAAGAGGAGCAGGTAAGAACTGACATGTGTCAATCATTGCTTGACCTTTCTTTGTGTCAATGTGATATTTGTAGACCTCATTTATATTCTTGTTTCGATTGCTTGTTTTCTGTTTTTTGGAGACAGGGTTTCTCTGTGCAGTCTTGGCTGTCCTAGAATTCATTTATAGACCAGGCTGCCCTCAATGTCACAGAAATTTGCCTTCCTCTGACTCCTGGGTTCTGGGATTAAAGGCATGGCCACCTGCTCCTTCCTCTTCTCATATTTATAATCTTATATAAGAATATACTTACATACTTGTATTCTCATGTTTCATTTTATTATAACTGACAGTACAAATGCAATGCTATCCTTTCTGGACAAGCGGGACACAAGGAAAGCGACCACTGTACTCTGCCAAGACAGGGTAAGATGGTCTTTCAGAATTCCTGCTTCTAAAAATGGTCTGTCAGATACTTTAGGCCTGTAGCCAATTTGAATGCACCAACAATGCTGAGAAACATTAGGTGACTGTCCAGGCTGCCAGCTGTCTCGGTCTACTCTCGCAAGATTCCCAAAAGTTGCTTGCATCCATCTACCATTTCTCAGGTACCATTATATTCCTTCTCAGGTCTTTGATGGGATTGAAGACTAGCAGTTATAGTTACAACTTAGTAGATAGAACATATTAAGTATTAGATTCAGGTTCTTTAGGATAGGACACCTTTTGGAATGATCTTTGTAACATGCCATTTACCTATGCTCTATACTTCTCTGGATTATAGTATGTGTTTCTTGCTTGATATTGTTTGCATTGGTTGTAGTTCCATCTTATCTAGGTCATTATCCCTCATTATTCCTGGACTATATTTGATAACCATTCCTTTGTATATAGTCTTGTATTAGGTTAGAACTTTCTTATTTAGACAAAAAGGGGGAGATGTAGTGGGTAGCCATTCCAGCTTTGATCTGGAAGTTCCAACCCCCATTGAGACTTCGTCAACTGTCACGCCTACAAGGCGGGGCGAAAGGAGGCGCCTGGGGACCCGAGATCTGGATCGGCGGGCGCTCTCTCTGTTGCGAGACCCTGGACTGGAGAGGTGGACCAAGCAGAGCTCCAGAGAACACCGCTGGACTGCGATACACCTTCCCCAGACCCCGCGACCTACCTATCCCTTAATTTGTAAGTTACGCCATTAAATAAATCTCCTTTTAACTACGTGGAGTGGCCTTAATAATTACACCAATATCGCCACCTTGCATGGGATCCTTCTTTTGCACTTACTTATGGGATTCATTCATTTAGTAGATTATTCACATAAAGTATATCTGAATTTTGTGTTTCCACCATTGCAGGATAACAGAGCATGTTGAACATAACTGTGTCATGCTGTCAGCCTCTGACCTCACAACAGATGACTGCACAGCTTTACATACATACCTTTGTAAGGGAAAACTCACCAACTAAAGCACCTACACTTGGAGTCTGACAGGTAATGTAGCATTTAATAACCTGGAAATAGATTTATGGTTGTGTACATCTTAAAGTGAATTATCTGTTATGGTTATTAATTCCTTTCAGAAACAATTACCAAAGTACAGTATACACAAAATAATTGTAATTCCACCTCAGTTCCTCCCTGGGAAACCCATGAGTTTTTTAGGCTTACTTATAACCCAAGGGTGAGGAGTTACTGGCTAGAGTGTGAGCGACTCCCAAGCAGTCACACTGCAAAGTCTTCACCCATCGTGGGTGATGAATTCTCCACAGCTACATGGATACAGCACCCCACAACTCACTTTTCACAGCCTACATATTGTATCACCTCTTGAAACTGAAGATCATAGGTAATTAGGACATAATTGCATACAAATGACAGGAAACTCAGGTGAGGAACAATAACCCTCTCCAACCCATCGCTTTCCATGCGGAAATATTAATGTCATAAGCCCAGTTGTGTCAGGCTCTTAGACACCTGAAAATAGACACAGCTAATCTCACAAAGGTGGCATCTGTTTTGCCTGGAGGACAATATGGAATTATGATTACTTTTTGGATCCTGTGCCACTGTAGTACAGCCACAATATATATGACAACAATGGACACTTATTCCCAGCAGTGTAACTGGTTGAGTCTCTGTCAATAACTATACACATAATTTTCCTATTAGTGTAGCCAAAGAAGTTATCTATGGTCATAAGCAAAAGCATTTAAAAAGTTTTATAAGCAAACCACACCCATTTGACAAACCATACAAGTAGCTACCTATGGTATGATATATTGTGTCTCCCAATATAATGTGTAGCCTAATAAAACTTATCTGAGGTCCAGAACAGAGCAGCCACTAGATTAGACATAGAGGCCAGACAGTGATGGCACATACCCTTAATCCTAGGATTCTGGAGGCAGAGATCCATCCGGATCTCTGTGAGTTCAAGGCCAATTTGAAAACAGAGCCAGGCATGGTGGCACACACCTTTAATCCCAGCACTTGAGATCTCATGTCTTGCTTGGGAAAGACACATGCCTTTAATCCCAGGAAGTGATGGCAGGAACCAGAAAGGTATATAAGGTGTGAGGACCAGGAACTAGAGGCTTTTAAGCTTTTAGGCTTTTTAGCAGCAGTTCAGTTGAGATCCACTCGGGTGAGGACTCAGGCTTCCAGTTTGAGGAAACAGGATCAGCTGAGAAGCTGGTGAGAGGTGAGGTAGCTGTGGCTTGTTCTGCTTCTCTGATCTTTCAGCATTCACCCCAATACCTAGATCCTGGGTTTGTTTTTTATTAATAAGACCTCTTAAGATTCATGTTACAGCTACCCCATTGGGATTAATTATTTTCAAGCCATCATTTTTATACTTTCTTCCGATACACAACATGGATTGTCTCCTGAGGAGCACCTTAAAACCAATTTAAACATAGTTTGTAACATCTATATCACCCATGCCACTATTGAATCAAAGGGCACACCTTGCCTGTCATGATGATGACATTAACACAGAGGTTGCATAGTTAAACAGGATCACTAGTGACAGATGGCTCAGCTGTTAAAAGCTGGGCTCACAGCCAAAAATATAAGAGTTCAGTTCCCAATTGTCTTCATATGGCCTTCCAGGATCACATGATATCCAGAATGGATGAAGTTTCCAGGAACCTCATCTTGTTTTTAATTTGCCCCACCACTACAGCATGTGGGGTCTGCAGAAATATGAGATTATCATCTAGTTCTTATATGTAGCCAATATCTGTCACAATAACCTGTATAATGTATCAATCCTCACAGGGATCCCTGGCCAATAATGCTAAGGGAGGTAATGCTGCTTCACTGGAATTACCATTCCAGAACCCTATGTTTCTAAGCAGCCCTGTGCACCATCTCTCCAGTTTAAACTTATTAGCTGATGTTTTTATTTTCATAGGCATAGGTTGTTGTAGTATTTTTTCAACTGTCTTGTCAAGCATCATTTGAATTTGACCCAACCATGAGACTCCCAAGAATTTCTACTTTCTGGGCCTTGTTCTTGTGCAGATTAATTTTTGGTCCTTGATCCTCTACATGTGTGGATAGTTTCATAAAGACGTTTTTCTAAATCTTTAAAATACTCAACCACTGATCTCCATTCCAAAGCAGACCCAAATGGGCTTGGGATCCAGAATTGATGGAGAAACAAAGACAAAATAGAACTTTCTAAAATTCTAACTTAGCATGAAAATATATTACCTCTTAGAGCAATTTTGCATTTAAAAATGGAGTAATATTGGGTATAGCAACATGCATGGAAGTGTTACGGTATTTAGTTCTCAGTAATCCAGTGTCATTGTCCTTGAGTCATCTGGCTTCATTTTTCACACTCAGGCAAAATTTATCAAAAGTGATATGCAGGATGCTTCTTGACAACATCTTCATCCCCAACATATTTTCCTGCTTGAGAAAAAGGAATAAAGTATACTGGGGGTCAGGGAACAACTTCCTTTCAATCTGAACCATTCTACACCGTAGTTATTCACTGCTGTCCATTGTCTCTAATTCTAGTAACATAAGAATCCAAGGCACAACTGGACCTGGCATCCACCCTGAAACAGTGATCTGATCATTATAGAAGACCAATAAATCCACAAATGGACCTGGGGACTCTGGGTACCTACACAGTCCTTACCTGTAGGCAACCTTGGCCATGCCATTATAGAAATGGCTAAGATGCTTCCCAGCAAACAAAATCTTCCTTCACAGCAATAGCTGTAGTGGGGCTTTATGCACTCATTGTCCTTTAAAAAATAGTTGTTCAGGCTTTGAAGCCTGTTAGGTCCACAAGCATAATATTTGGCTTTCTGTTGAGTTTATCCATAGGAACTCAAGCTCAACCAAAACCTTGTTGCATCAGCTTTTAAGTGACCTGGAAATACCCTTTTCTCTCCTATCCACTGTGACCCTCATCTTCTTATCCATTTTCCTTGCCAAATCAGAAGCAAATATGGAGGTGTCTCCTGCAGATCCTTTTCCCTTTCTAACGGCCACTACAGCAAGGAATCATATCATTCCATTCCTCAAAGGGAAAGATGACCATTTTGGAACTGTCTTGACAGACAGCCTACTCTTGGACAGCTCAACCTCAGCTTTGTTTTACTATCCATACGGTGGGATATTCTACCACTCATTTAGGTTCTGTTGGGTCTCTGTTTGGGCACCAATTTGCTGCATTAATTTTCTTCCAGAGACACACATAAATGTCTATTAATTTCAGAGTTCACATGAAGAGACCAAAGAAACACCTCAAAGAGGCCAGATGAGGATGTTAGATCCCCTGGAGTTAGAGTCATAGGCTACTTATTGCTAAGGTCTGACATGGATACTGAAAATGAACCCAGGTCCTTTGCAAAAAAAAAAAAAAAGAGAGAGAGAGAAAGAAATGTTCTTAAGCACTGAGCCATCTCTTCAGCCCCAGATATTTTCATTAATAGTCAATGTTGTTAGGTCTATTTTACAGTTGTGTGCTTTCCACCAGTGTATTTAGAATACTTTGAAAGTTGATTTGTTTAAATGAACTCTATGTCTCTCCTTTTCTGTTATGACTATAGTGTTTAGAAAAATAGTTTGGTTGGAAAAATATTTTAAATAATAAATAAGAATTAAAATGAATGATAAAAATGATTTGGCTGGGTCAAGCATCTTATTATTCAGAAGATGGGCATGTGTTTTAGTAATTTAATGATGATTAAGGGACTATAGTTTATTTAAAATATGGATAATTTAAGGTTTCATATTCTTTTAAATGAAAAATGTCTTATAATGTCTCTTTTTATTTTGACATCCAAATAGGAACTATATATTCAAAATTAATTTCACAAAATACATAAATTATGTCTAAACCCAATCATTAAGTTCTATAATAAAAATCACAAGATTGTAGTGACCTTTAAAATATAAAGATTTATTTCTTACTTAATCTTTGTGGCCTCCTTGATTTCAGATGAATCAAGCTTGATCTTTAATGCATTTGGCTCCAGTCTACAAATTCAGCTGAAATCATATGTATATCTATCTTCAGAACCTGGCACACAATCTTTATCTCAGAGATAAAAGTAAAATTCCATTTTTTTGAGGGAGTCACATACCATGTATTTCAAAAGCCCTACATGTTTACCAGGGTTGTTAAGCAACATACGCTTGGAGACTGTAAAGGTTAGTTGAGGTAGGGAGACCCAGTCACTGGGTGAGTGATATCTGTTTCCTGTTTGAGATCTTGGACTGAGTAAGCAGAGTGAGGGAGGGGAAGACCTTCTTGCATTTATCACTCTCTGCTCCTTGATAGTGGGTGTTATATGACCAACTGCCTCACACTACTGCTGCCTTGACTTCCCCACAGAATGAACTATACCTGAAATATGTGTTAAAAATAAACCTTTTCTCCATTACGTTGATTTTGTCAGAATGTTTTATCACAGTAGCAGGAGAAGGAGCTAAGACAGAAGAGTAAGCAGTGGAGTATAAAATTCCTTGTCAGTGGAGCCAGGTCATTTGTTAGCCCTCATAGTGTTTTATTGCTTATGTAACTCAGTCAAGCATGTGTTTTTAACCTGCAAAATGTGACAGACAAGGCATCTTACTCATAGGATTATTTGAAGATCATTAAAGCATATTTGTAAAATCTCTTAAGGGACATGTATTGGCCCATACATATTCACTAAATCTTCAGTACTTACTTAACACATCACCATGGAACTTCTTCTATTTGTGATCTTTGCATAAGATTCATCAAATATTCAACAAATTTAATTTCTAAGAAGACTCAAGTCCTAAAAAACAGTTTCTCCTTTTAACCCATCAGATATTTATTATTTCATAAAATTCAGACATCAATAATTCATCCTATATCAGATAAATGAGAATTCTGAAGAAGTAACTTTTAAAATTTAGTATCTTTCATATATGGACAGTAAATGTTTTAGCTACTGAATTGTATTTGTAAGAACTAACATTAAAATTTTTATTCTGCCGGGCGGTGGTGGCGCACGCCTTTAATCCCAGCACTCGGGAGGCAGAGCCAGGCGGATCTCTGTGAGTTCGAGGCCAGCCTGGGCTACCAAGTGAGTTCCAGGAGAGGCGCAAAGCTACACAGAGAAACCCTGTCTCGAAAAAACCAAAAAAAAAAAAAAAAAAAAATTTTATTCTTAGTACTCAAAACCTTCAATATCCCCCCTCATGTATTCTTTCATACACACATACATAAAAGCAATCTTATATGGAATTAAAGAAAATTGGATTGCAAAGGCCATGTTATAGCAGTATAACTTTTAGCCCCTTCTGATCTGGGGCCACAAAAAAAAAAAAAAATGTCCACCTTGTGGAAGATAAAAAGACTGAAAGACCTTTCCTTCCAAAGTTTCTAACTCGTTCTCTCTCTCTCTCTCTCTCTCTCTCTCTCTCTCTCTCTCTCTCTCTCTCTCTCTCTCTCTCTCTCTCTCTCTCTCTCTCTCTCTCCTTAGACTGGGTAATCTGTAAGAGAAGAGGATGATAATCGTTCATGATTCTGTATTATGAGAGCCCAGAGACAAGGCATTGGCATCAACTTTGGATGAGAGTATCACACTGCGTTGAAGTCATGACAGAGAGAAGAGCAAACCATGTGCTCCCTAAAGAAGCAGTGAGAACCCACTTCCATGAGAAAGGCAGCAGTGTTGCAAAATTAAAGTGCCTTCCCAGTAAGAAATCACTCTGCACTCATAGAGACTGAGAGGACTGGGGAGCCAGACCAGAGCCCTAACAGGTTTCTAAAAGCCCTGCCAGGGACCAGGACTTAATTTTGGTTTAGGTTTACTGGAACTGGCTGGAGCTGAGCAAGCAGTTCTTGGGAAGACCACAACTCAGGGGCAACCAACCAGCCGGTGTTCCTCAGCCTTCTGCTGGCTCAGGAGGAGCCCCACCCCCAGCCTTCTGCTAGCTAAAGATAGCTTTCCCTACCCTGCAGTTGGAAGGTGCCTAACCACTACAGCCTCCAACCAATCAGCCCCCAGACTAATCTTTCCTCCACCAATCAGCACCAGGTGAATCCCTCCTCCCTGGAATCCCCCTAACTGCTTAAAGAGAGCTTTCAACCTTCCTTCAGGGTCACTATTTGCCACCCCATCATGTTGGATATAATAAATGTTCTTGCTGATTGTGTACATGACTGATGGTCTTTCTTGGGGGCTTCTCTCAGATGCTAACATATTTTTTTCATGCACGGTAAGTCTATTTTGCATAAAAGAAAAAGCTTGCCATAAATGAAAAATTCAGCAGAAAACAATCCTTTTGTTTATATATTAGGGCTCAAAAGTAGAAATTGCTTCTTAGTAAACCCTCAGTAGAAAGAGAATTGTGTAAGAAAACATTCTTGTCATGAAATCTCTAACAGAAATTCTGTAATGAAGTATTAACCAAGAAATTTTATTGTCTGGATCACCAGTTTCTGATGGCTTGCAATTTTTCTTTTTCAGTCCCTTATGACATTAACATGAAAGATACTTAAACATGCTTTAGAGTTATTGTCTATAAATATGGTGGCATGATGGCTAATCTTTCATAGTCTCCCTATTTCATTGAGAAGTTCTAAGTAGGTAATTGGCGCCTTGCCTTTCTGACTTCTCTCTCCCACAATAGCCAGTCTGAATCCATTTTAACAACACTGAACACAGTGATTACCTCATCTACCAGAAGTGACAGTTCAGGACTATTTGCTGCATTATAATCAGAGAACCCTGGCCTTCCTGCTGCCACTTGATTCTTTAAGGTCATTTCGACCTCCCTTCGGGGTCACTATTTGCCACCCCAACATAATGGAAATAATAAGTGTTCTTGCTGATTGCATATGTGACTGATGCTTATTCTTGGGGGCTTCTCTCAGACCCTAACATATGGTGCATTGGCTGGGAAGCCCCCTCCAAGATCCCTGACACCTTGAGTGTTGGAAACCTGGCCAGCTGGTAAGTGTAAATGTGAGTACTTTTTTGTCTTGGTATGTCATTGTTCTGATTGTCTGACTATTCTGTGTTTCTGTTCCTTGTTCTGTGTTTCTTTCTCTAGGAAGCTCAAGGTAACTGAGTCTGGAGGCTCAAGTTTGCCTGGTGGACGCCCTTGAGGCACCTCTGCCATGTGGGCTGGGAGACATCCTGGACTCACTTGAGAGGGACGACTGGGTGCCTTTGAATGAACTGGGACAGAGGGTCCCTTTGGTTGAATGAGAACACAGGTTGCTTCTATTACAAAATGGAACTCCCCAGGGAGACGTGCCCATTTCTGATTTCTTTCTTTCTTTCTTTCTTTCTTTCTTTCTTTCTTTCTTTCTTTCTTTCTTTTTTTTTTCTTTCTTTCTTTCTTTCTTGTTCACTGTACCGGTAAATTGTGGTATTGTGGTCTCTGTTGCCCCCTTATGTTTTTTGACTGCTTACTATATAACACTTGAGTCACTTCCTGTATTTTCTAAGCTGCAATGGCCATGTCATGACAGCTAGCAAGCAGCAGCATACTGGGGCAGGACTTCAGACATCGGATAAAGAAACTGGGGTTGATTGTTGCAGCAGCTGGGGAAACTGGCAATCGTTTTTTGCAGGATACTGACTGCCAGGCAGGCACTCTGTGCCCACAGGCTGTCCATGTAGCTGCTGCATTCCCCCCTCCCTTCCTTCCTGAGCCAAATTCTTCACTGTGGACCAAGGTCCTTGGTGTTGATTACTTCCCCCTAATCTCTTTCTGTCCTGACACTGTCTAAGAAAAATTGTGCTTTTGTCTACACAGAAAAATATGTGGTTTTTGTTCATTCGGATCCAGTGAATTATAAATATTTGTTATCAGTTAGAGAGGTTGGTTACAAATTATCATTGGTTGGGGTAAGAAAAAAACTACTACTAGTCTTAGATGTTTCATGTTGGTACAGGTTTCTATGTGTTGATGTAAAGTTAGAGTTATTTTTGTTATGGTATATGTATGTGTCTGCTGCTGTTTAAAATATTATAGCCATACAATATTCTAGACTACTGAAGGAAACCACAAGAAGGACTTTGATAGAAGTTTTCATGTTGTCTGGGAAATAAGAGAGAAGGCAGGAAACTGGAAAAAAATGAAGAAAAGAAAAAGGAAAGCAGAAGTTGTCTAAAGTAAGAATGTCTGACTGAACCAGATGAGCAGAGATAGGAACCTGAGGGTATATAGTAAGTTGTAGAAGGTCAGAGGGGGTATAAAATTTGACCATGCTATGTTAATTCTGGTTAGTTTTCTTCATTTAAAAAAAAAAGCTGATGATTCTTCACTTTAAAAAAATGTATGTATTGGGAATGGGGTTGTGCTCTTGGGAAAACTAAAGGAGGAGAGCAGGCCACAGCCTTGGGCACCCTGTGCCCTGTCCTTCCTTCTCCAGGTGATTTGGAGGATGAGTTCTTTTCTGCCCCACCATCTTACCCCCAGGCACCCCAGAATGAAAGGGCTGGGAGGGTACTGGGGCAGGGATGGAGGAGACCACCCACTCCACACACACACACACACACACACACACACACACACACACACACACGTGCACACTTGCTCTTGGAGGGAGGAGCCGCCAGCTGGGGCTGACACCATGGTCCTTCAATTGCATGCTGTGGGCCCACCTGATGCTGAGATCAGGAAGCATCTAGTCCATTAGCCCTTTGCCACTAGCGACTTTTATAATCGGCAATTACAAAATCCTAAGTTTTCTGAGAAGCCTGCAAGACTCATTGACCTGTTGGATTCTATCCTTTTCACATGATTGTTTTTAGCTGCTCTAGGTCCTCTTTACTATTGAGGAGAGGGAGCAGATCATAATGGAGGCTCAAAAATTGGTTCTGGGCCCAGATGGAAGATAAACCACCAATGCAGACCTCATAAATGTTGGTTTTCCTATGACATAACCCAACTGAGATTTCAACAAGGAGGAAGGTAAGGAAAAGCTGAAAATCAACCAACAGACTCTAAGGGGGGGGGGTCTCTGGGCTGCTGTGAGGTGGCCCACAATTTGTCCAAAGTTAGTCAAGTATATCAGGGGCCTGAGGAGACACCAGGAGCATTTCTAGGGAGGCTGATAGAAGCTTATAAGACCTATATACCCTTGGATCCAGAAGCACTGGAGAATTGGTCTGAAATCAGTCTGGCTTTTGTCAACCAGTCAGGGCTAGATATCCACCATAAGCTGCAAGACTAGAAGGTTTTGAAAGTAAGAATTTGGCTGAATTCATTGCGATTGCTGAGAAAGTATTCAATAACAGAGAGACCTCAAAAGATAGACAGACTAAGGGGCTCACGAAGGCTTTAGAAAGACAGATGCAGGGGCTCACCAAAGTCCTATCTGCATCAAGAACCCCAGAGGTTAGAAGACAGGCATTGGCTACTGGATGCTCACTATGTAGAAAGAAAGGCCTGAAGCAGTGAATGTGCAATAGGCCTCATTTTCAGAAAGACCAATGTGCCTACTGTAAGTAGTTGGGTCAATGGAAGAATGAATGCCCTGGATGACAGGGCTCAAAAGTGAAAGTATTGGAACTGGAAGAAATTAATGATTGAAGGGGATAGGGCTTGGAACCCCTCCCTGAGCCTTGTGTAACCCTTGGGTGGAGGGGAAACCCATAGATTTTCTAGAGGATACAGGAGCACAACACTCCATTCTAAAACAACCCCTAGGCAAAAATGTCTCAAAAACCACCCTGGGTACAAGGGGCTACAGGAATGAACTGGTACTCATGGACTACTCAAAGATCAGTAGACAAGTAGACATAGGAAAGAGCCAGGTAACCCACTCTTTTATGGTCATCCCTGAATGCCTATACCCACTATTGGGAAGAGACTTATTAATTAAGATGCAGGCCCACATCCATATTGACCAGACTGAGATACCAATGACTGATCAGAAGGGAGGGGCATTATACATGTTTATCATATTGCTCATGGATGAATATAAATTGTTTGTGCCCCCCAAGCAAGAAGACAATAGAGACCAACTTCAAAATTGGCTCCAAGAAATTACCTAGGCCTGGGCAGAAACTGGGGAATCTGGGCTAGCAGCACACTAGTCCCCCATACCAGTGCAGCTGAAAACAGGGGCAACACTGATGCCTATCAGACAGATGCCTAATGCACCATATGTTAAGGTCCAAGACAAGCCCCCAAGAAAGACCATCAGTCACATTTGCAATCAACAAGAGCATTTATTATTTCCAACATGTTGGGGTGGCAAATAGTGACCCTAAAAGGAGGTCAAAAGCTCCCATTAAGTGGAGTTAGGGGAATTCCAGGGAGGAGGGATTAATCTGTGCTGCAAGCCACAAAAATATATGATGTAGGATTTCAGCTGATTATGACAAGATAATACCTGGGAGAAGCCAAGGGACTTCCAGAGGTCAAGCTGAGACTCAAGGAGTCTTGGTGATATTGGCTTTTGATTATTAGCTATTTCCTACTATGCATTTCTCATGCGCTACTGTAGCTTTTCTATCATTCATTTTGGCACCATTTCCCCTTTACTAAATGAATATTTAGATAACCTTCTGTGCAGTAACACAGCCGGGACCCTTAATTTCAGGCCTTTCTGTAATTATTGTCATTAGCAGCATCCGGCCAGGACCATCCCTGGATGGACAAAAGTATCTTATCAGAGATACATCTGTACTCTCTAAGAAGAGACTTAAGCATCCAGACTGTTTGAAAATGCCTGGTGGATGTACTAATTAAGCTTTAACTTTCTCCTGTAGTGGGTAGTTGTTCCAGTCTTGACTTTGAAACACTACCCCTAGTGTGGCAGCAAGTAACTGCCGTACCTGCCTATGACCTACCCCTGGGTTGTGGCCAAGAGGAGACCCCTTAAGACCTGAGGTGCATGTGTGCTTGTCTCTCTCTTGATCCCTCATGGTCCTGGAGGCTGGACTGCACCTCATCTCTCCCATGTCCTGTAACAGACCCTTTATTGGCTGTAAATTACCCCAGAAATAAACCTCTCTTGATTACCAGATAAATTATGTGTAATTGCCTCATTTAATAATAGCGATATTCTCCTTTCCAAAGTCTTCTCTCTAGTTTTAGATCCACCCTTAATAATTAACTAAAGGGTTCCAACTTAGAGGTACATCTAGCTGTGGCAGAAGTTGCCTAGTCAAGTTGCCTAGCAACCGAGCACACTTGCCAGAAATGGCAAAAGAAGAGATAGCTTTGAGAGATAAGGGTCAAAGGAATAAAAAGGCAGTTTTATTTTCAAAGAAGGACTACTAGACAGAGAAGAGAAAAGAGAATGGAAGAACTTGATGGGTAAGAACTGGAGCAGAACAAACTGAGATGGAAAAGAACTTGATTGAAGGGCTAGAAGAGAGAGCTAGAGGAACGAGATGGAAGATGAGGAAGAGCCAGATGAGGAAGGAGATGGGAGAGGAGCTGATATTGGAAAGAACTAGATGGGGCAGAATTAAGATGAAGAAACTAAGATAGCAGATAGAGGGGTCAGCAGATGAATGTAGAGAGAAACTGGGCAAGAAAGGAGCTAGGCATGAGAGCAGAATAGAAGCTGTGTAGAGAGAGAACTGGCTCAAAAGAATAAAGTGTATGGACTGAAGAGTTTTGTGTACAAATTCATTTCTTATTGTCAAAGATTAAATTATCAGATTGTTGTAGATTCATCCTGGACCCTGGGAGGGGATTATAGAGGGGCTAGACCCCCACATAGTCCTTGTTAAATCTGGTGCTGATTGGTGGAGGAAAGATTAGTCTGGGGGCTGACTGGTGGGAGGCTCTAGTGGTTAGGGACCTTCCAGCTGCAGGGTAGGGAGAGCTAGCTTCAGCTAGCAGTAGGCTGAGGGGCTCCTGCTGAGCCAACAGAAGGCTGTGGAGCACCTGCTGATTGGGTGCCCCTGAGTTGTGGTCTTCCCAAGAACTGCTTGCTCAGTTTTGGCCAGTTCCAGTAAACCTAAATCAAAAGTAAGTCCTGGTCCCTGGCAGAGCTTTTAGAAACCTGTCATGGCTCTGGTCTGGCTCCCCAAACCTCTCAGAGATCATAAAAGGAAAAGTTATTTAATAGCAGGGCAGGACTGGTCTGGCTAATACACAAAAGGAAACCTGCCTTGAACAAAAAAAAAAAAAAAA